TATTCAAATTAAGATATAATTTATTAAATATTTATAATATAATAATTATAATTAAGATAGTATTAAGATATAATATAATATATTATAATAATTATATATATAATATAATATATTATAATAATTATATATATAAAATAATAATAATAGTATTATTTAACTAGATCCAAATATTTTTTTTAGTTATAACTAAATTCTTATAATTAATATAAAAAAAGTTAAAAAAAACTTTTATAATTTTCTTTAAATTAATAAAATTATATTTATAACTAATATCTTTATAAATTATAATTATTAATTGTTAATTAACTTAATAATTTTTATTTAAGTAATAATAATTTTATCTAATAAAATAATAGTTCTATAATATTAATTAGTATAAAAATATTAAAAATATAAATTTTCTTATTAAAAGTATATAAAATAATATATATTTTAACTTTATATCTTAATATAATAAGAACTTTTTATTAAAAATAAAGATTTTATTTCTTATATTTAAGATAAAGAAATTTTAGAAAATTAATTGAGATAAGATTAATTTATATTTATTTTTAATATTTTTTAAAGAATTAAATATCCTCTCTCTTATAGATTTTAAAAAGACTAATTAAAATAATTAAATTAACTAGTAGTTAATCTAACTAAAGTCTTAATTATATTAATCTAAATAAGTAAGATATAAGTATCTTAGTACTAAGAATAATTAAAATAATTAATTATTATTATTTTTTTTATACCATAGTCAGGTATAAGTAGAGAGTCTAACCTGACTATATACTAGTAATCCAATTAAGATAAGGGTTCTTAACCTGGCCTGACCTGGCTATTACCTACTCTACTAAAGAGGAACTAATTATATTATTTAAGAGATATTATAATTAATAAGAATAATATATATCAGGATAATATAAGAGAGGCCTTCTTTAATTCTAAACTTACTTTATTAAAAGAATTAAATAATCAAGAAAATATTATATTCTTCTTAGAAGAGAAAAGAATATAGATTAATATATATTCTATAATTAAAATATCTCTACTACATATTTAAGAGATCTTATTAAGTCTTAAATTTATATAATTAGCTAAGAAGATATAGCTAAAGTACCTAAAGATATTATAAAAAAATAATTAAGAATAATTATAAATACTAAGAATCAGATATTAATACAGGATTTTATATAGTTATAAACCTAAGTACTTATATTAATTTTATTATATATCCTAATACTAGAATAGCTAGTAACTTAATTAAAAAGAATAATAAAGATACAGGAATTAATAGAGATATTAATATTTAACTTTATAAGAAATACTTTATACCTGAGAGTGACACCTAAGAGAATCTTAATTATATTAATTATAATATAATAAATTTCTAAATTAATAATTAATTAAGAAAGAATAAATACTACTAGCTAGGATAGAGAAAGATACTAAATAAAATTATTTAATATACTTATACTAGATATATTATCTCTAGAAATAGGATTTAATAATAAACTTATAAAAAGTATAGAAAAAGTACTAGAATAACTAAAAAAATAAAAAGAAAAAAATCAGGAGAAAATATAGTTTTTTAATATAATTATTATCCTAGTTAACTAGAAGAAAAGTAACTAAATTATATATTAAAAAATATTAAGAAGAATAAGTAAATATTATAATCCTAGAGATATTATCTACTAAGCTAAATAAACTAGTATTAATAAGAGATATTATAATATTACTAAATTAGAAAGTAATAATAAAATTAGATTATAAGAATAAATAAATAGCTGCAGCTTATAAGCAAGTTATTTTACTTATTAAAATAAAGATAGTTAAGATTATTCCTAAGAATAACATAAAGATAAAGAGATACTAGATTATTTCTAGTAAATAAGTTTTCAATCTAAAGAAGAATAATAATAACTTTATTATATAATTCTAAGTAAGATATATAATATATAAACTATTGTTAGATATTAAGAGAGGAGATATACTTTTTTATAATAATTAAATTATTAATAAAGATACTACTTATATAGATTATAATTAATAATATAAAATATAAACAAGTTAATATCTATATAATATATCTAAACATCAGCCTAAAAAAAAAATATATATATTTATAAAACTAATTACTAGCTTTAAAATATTCCTAGAAAGAGAAATAACTAATAGTGATTATAAAAAGTATATATATTTATTAAAGTAAGTACTTTATAAACTTTAGAAGTAGTATTATTATAGAATAAGAAGCTAGATAAGAAATTATAGAATCTTAGCTTTAAATTTTTAATAAATAATCCTTATATTTATACTTATAAAGAAATAAAAAAGAGATATAAAAAAAAATAATAATTATCTAATCAAAGTACATGTTAATAATATATTAATAATTATAAAAAAAAAGAATTATATTATAAAACTTAAGGATTTAAGCAAGATTTTTATTTTAAAAGAACTTAATAAACTAATATAATTCTTTAATTATATTATTAAGTAAAATAAAGAGACTAGTATAATCTCTATAAGTTAAAATAATTATATTAATAATATACTAGATAAATTTAATATGACAGATAGCTTAATAAACTATTATCTAATAACTCTAGGATATTATATAAAAATCTTAAAAAAAGAAAATATTAAAAAGCTAGTAAATAAGAATAACTATAAAAAATATATAAAATTATTTAATTAGCTAATTATAAAGACTTAGTCTAATATAACCCATGTAATCTTTTACTTATAAAAGAAATATACTAACTTAATATATAAAAATAAAAATACTATAAAAAGTATTATAAGATATTTGAAAGAATATTAATATACTCTAGTCCTAGTAATAAATTATTTAAAAAGAATAAAGATATATATAAATATCTTATATAGTTATATTAAGATTATCTAGCTAAGAAATTATTAGAAAGTTATATAATCTTTTATTATAAATTAATAATTATATAAATAAGTAAAAAAGGAGATATTTAATTATTATAGAATTTATAGCTTTTAATAATATTATAAAAGAGATTTTATAAATATAAAAACTTATAATTATACTTGATATATAAAAAGAGAAATAAATTATAATAAATATAAATAATATTAATAAAATTATCTTAATTAAGAAGATAAGCTTTATAATTATTTCTAAATAAGTTAATAACTAACTCTTATTAATCTAGAACTAGTATTAAAAAGAAATAATTATCTTTAATATTACTAATAATAAGAAAAATCCTATAAATAAGCTTATAAAATCTCTGTATATAGAGAAATAAAAGTACTTTATAAAAAATACTTAAATTAACCAAAGAATCAGCTAATTAAATAATATTATTTTATTTAGATATCTTATTTTATATCTTGCTTAAAAAATATTACTTTATTTAAGTTCTAATAATAAGAAGCTTTATTTTTATACTTCTAATTAAGAGATATTTTATTTAATCTTATTTATAAGAAGATATATTTAGATACTTTTTTTATATATCTTTTAAATATTTTATTAATCAATTTAGTAATTTTTTATACTTTAATATTTTAGATATAACTTTAAGTATTATATATCTTTATATACTGGTTTTAATATTTTAAAGTATTAATATTCTATTAGCTAGGCTAATATATTCTATATCTATTATAATATATATTCTACTATAATTATTCTCCTATAATTTCTTAAGTAAGATATTTAATTAAAGAAATCTTATATTATCTTATTTATTATTATATAATATAGGACTCTAGTATAACTAATAAATAAATAATCTAATATAATTAAGTTAAATATTATATTAACAAGTATAAGATAATATATTTTTATAAATTATAAGGATTACAAGTCTAAGAAGATAAATTAATAGTTAAATAAAGACTAAAAATATATAAAGAAAATAAAAATACTAAAGAAATACTAAATACAGGGATTTATATATAAATAAAAAATCTTATAATATTATCTAGAGGGGTATCTCAGATATCCAAAGCCCTACATAGGTAACTATTACATGACTTTAGTCACACATAGACTGTAATCTGTAGTCTCCTAGATAGAATCCCAATGATCCTTCCTCCAACGATCTCCCTGACCTCCTAGCGGTCAATTCGACTGATAATCCATCATAATATATACTTAGTTAATTAGAATTTTCTATTCATATGTAATTCTAAAAGTTAGTTAATCATCTAATAATAGTTGTATTAATAATAAAGTTCATAGACAAGACAGGCTTATTTAAGTAATTTAATATAATTAATTCTATAATAATAAGAGCCATGAAACAATAATAAGTAAAAAAGAATAATGAATATAATAATAATTAAAAAGTATATTAAATAATAATCCAAATCTAATCAGGTTAGATAGTATAAAAAAATAAAAAAAATAAAAGATGATTAAGTAACACATTGCCATCTAGCAGTGTGCTTATACTATATATAGGTAAGTTCATTGAGAATGAGCAGAGTAGCACTTCACTTAATTTTGAATAAGAGCCACTTGAGTATGGACAAGCAAGGATAAGATAACAAGGACTATAGTACTACTACAGAAGCACCCTGTCTTACTACTGTGTTCTAATATATGGTCATCCACAAAGCGCAAAACTGTCATGGTATTGTTTGTAGCTGGGTGGTGATCCTTTTCAACATACTGCTGCGGCTATGACTATTTAACTTACTCTAGAGACTGCCGGCTGAGAACCCAGACCAATCCGCCCTGATGATCACTGTACACTCTACCCCCTGGTGGTCAGTCAGCTTTTGGGATGGCTGTTTCCAGTATGCCCTTACTGTCTCCCCCCGACAGCGACAAGCATACTGCATAGACAAGGTAAGATAGGATAATGATGATGGTTACTGTTTCTCCTACTCCTCCTTCATGGCATTCATATTATAGTTGGGGAAGCTGTGATAATGAAAATGATTATTTCTCCTGCTGCTGTTGTATTAAACTGTAACATATTCCTCATTTCAAGGTGCTTTACATTCCAAGTAATTTCCAGCTAGTTTAACTCCATGTGGAGAAGAAAGTATTGACTGATCTGAACTGTCAAGATAACATATCAAAACTGAAATCGAATTAAATTAAGTATCAAGTCGAGAATGTACGGATGCAAGCATGTAATTTACCAACCCATATAGGTCCTCTTTGCATCACTAATATTGTGGCTTTAATGGATGGCTAAATCACGATGGCACATTTTCCTGCCATGCACTTAACTGTGTGATGCCAGGGAAATAATGATGATTGCCATAGGCCGTTTCACAACCAGCTAAGTTTTGTCTTCGATTGTAGTCCATCGGCAACATGTAGCGGTCCTTTCTCACCGATCTGGTCAGGTTCATCGTGGCCTGGTTGTCCGGTATCCCCCATGTTGGCCGAAGATGGGCCACTCTCCTCCGTATATGAAGTAAAAGTTTTGAACCAAAATTCAAGCCCACCCTTATCAAGGTAATGGAGCAACCTTTCATTCTCATGGTTAAGGTCTCGAAGAATCCGGTCTCTTTGCTCTGGACGGAACCGTGATGATATGAGCTCAGAATCCGAATCACTCAAAAGTACATCCCGCGGAGAGAGGGGAACATAAAGAGGTGGATAATTCGGGTCGTTGGTATATCCTGTAAGAAGTGTTATTCGATACGTTCAAATGTGACCGATCCCTTCGCGAGTGCTTACTATCTCTGAGACATAAATTGAGTGTATGAGAAAGCGCGGTATCGTGGAGCAATTGCTCTGACCCGTCGCCCATTTTTTCGACGGTGCACCCTAAGTCCGCCCAGTCATCCTTGATCATGCATCTTCGCCATACCAGTTTCTGTAAAACAAGATGGTAGAGCGGATGTTGCTGAGTAAAATGTCCGAGGCGAATAACTCGTAAAGCAAAGTAAAATTCTTTCCCCAGTAACTCATTCTGACCGTAGGCAGAAACCTCAACAGTATCAATCAATGTCAATAAATCAACAAGTTGGTCAACATTGATGACCTGCCGAGTGATTAATTTGGTAAGTGCATCACCTAAAACTTCATGGAATGACGGTCTCTCTGTAGCAATGCTCTTGCCAAAATGATCAATTGCTAAATCGACCTCGGCCTTTTGATCAATCGCACCTTGCAGTGCGGGCGCAACATAGGCAAACACGACTTCCTGGACCGCACTGATTTCGGCTAAGTCTTCAAGGCGCCTGATATCGTCGTGGGGAGGTGTTTGGCTCGAGGGAGTTTTCTCCCATGCAGCTAGGTTTGCTAGTTTCGCCAACGATAACTCGACGCGATGACTCCATATATCGCCCTCATGCTGGATAGCTAGACGCTCAAGGGACTTCGCGGCAGCGTCATAATCATTCTCACCAATGACACTGTTGATCCAACACAATCGAGAATATGGTGTGTTTTTGCGCAGAAATTGTGTGATGAAAGGCTGAAACCTTTTCATTGAGAATAATATCCCCGCTTGACCCATTGATATTTGTCGCGAGAAAAAGGCGTCGGCCCATGATTCGCCAAATTTGTCGAAATATTGAGAAACCTTGTTGGTGAGCTGCTCTGCCTCAGATTGAGGAGCATTGTGGCTATGCTGCGGTGACTTAGAAGAGATAATTTGGGTTTTTGTTTGATCCTGAAGCTCAATTATGAGCTCTACCAATGCCTCCATGTCCCCGAACTTTTCAGCCAAAGCGATGGCATCTCCTAGCTGCCCAATTCCCGCTAGCTTAAAAAGTTGCCACTTACGGTGCTTGACATGCGCGCGTTCTGCGGTAATGCTCTCGTCATCCATCTTTGTATTCCCCTGGGCAGCCAGCCACCGCATTCGCTCCGAGTGCATTTGACCCAATACACGAAGTTGCCTGGCGCAGTTTTTTGAAATTTTTCGTAAGCTCTCAGGGGCTTCGCATGTAGACATTTGCTGTATCCACGCCCTGCAGCTATCGAGTTCCAAATCCAGGAGATGCCCGGTTTCAACGTAGCTGATGCCTCGCGACGTCCAGAATTCCGGGAGACCGCTGTAGGAGTCTATATAGACACCGTCTTCCAGATACCCGTCATTGAGTCCGTATTGGCTAGCATGCTCATCACGGTAGCGAAAAGCTGTCTCTAATACAGCCAAAGAAAGTTCGCTAGCATCTAATATTTGGTCTGCTGCTTTTCGACCTTGTCTTGGTTGCTGTCCCTTATGTGGCCTGATGGCATTTGAAATCCATGGAACAATGTGTTCCATTCTGAAGGTATCATGAAGGAACCAGTGGCGTACTGGATCACTCTCGCCGGCGCGTTCATCCAATTTCGTTTTGAACTTTTCGCTCATCAACCCTATAACATGGGCTAAAAACGTGGGTTCTCTGCCTTGAGATTTTCGGGCAGCTTCCTCTAACTTCCACATTGATCGTTGAGCTGCAAGCTTTTCGGCACTCCATAGCAATTCCCACCATGTTTGGCGGTCAAAGTTTTTGTTTTGTTGTTTGAGAAGACTCGCAAGGTCATCTATGGCTTTCGCTCGTAGCCTTAAATTCTGGTCCAGAGAGATTGCTGTCCTAGGGATAAATCGAGATGTTGATTGAAGCAAATCTTTGCAGATTTCCAGGGCCGCTTGCTCAATTTCTTTGGCAGAGAAATCCAAGCAGCTCTTGTTGGCCAAGTTTAAGGGGTTATCCGACATCGTACCATAGAAAATAGCCTGCTCAAGCTTATCTTTCGCTGAAACTTGAGCGTCTTCTATGTCACTCCCAGACTTTTTGCGAGGTGAAGTTGTGATACGAACAACACCAAATTCTCGAATCATCAGAAGGCAGCCACAGAATGATTCATCATTGTTTTGGGCTTCGACTCCATTTCCCAGGATATCGTACTCCTTGCCGGAACGGAAGACAATAGAGTCATACAACGAAGGTCTTTGTTGGTTGGGGTCAAGCAGAAGGTGCGAAGTGGGTGACTCTTTGGGCCCAGCCAACGACAGTAGTGTGACCGACTGGTTGGCTATAATGAATGCAGTGTCTCCTGGCGCCGGAAGAAGCAATTTCACACCGGTATCTTCGCTGTTGTGATGCAGAGTGACCGTGTTGGTTGATATTACATCGATATTCTCCGAAAGCAGAATCTGCATCAGACAGAGGTTTGTCGAAGATGCCCCTCGAGGCGGGGCTAATATAGCACATATCTGCCACGATTCCGGATCACTTTTCTGCCTGTCTGACGTGATATGGTTGCCGGGTGAGAATGTGAAATCCAGCACCCTAAAGTCAGGCTCACCGGCTCCATTCACATACTTCGGCCCAAGAAACTGGCACAATTTATGCTTAGCATCGAACTGCCTTTTCAGCACACAGCCATTGTTCCAATGTGTGTCCCAGATCTCGAAAACGCCGCTGGAGGTGGCAATTAAAATGTCTCGTTGTCCCCGTTGGCGCGAATCGCCGGCGCGAACAGCACTAACATCTTTTCTCCAGAATCCTCCGCCGAAAACATTTTTAATGCCGCCGAGTAGCCCAGTCTTCACATTGCTCCCTGACGAAGAGCGCAGAAAGTTCACAATCACTGCTGCTTTCCCTTGTGTATCTCTGAACGTTACATGGGCAACTCGTCCGGATGAAAAGGTGACGACAACGCCCGAAGGCTCCCCGTTTACAATGTCAACAACATGTTCACCCGAGAGTAAGTTGTGTATTTGTCCGTGGATACCAGAGGGCCTCTGTCTCGGCAATCCTAACGACGCCGCGCTCGACATCGTTTCCCAGTATATGATTTTCCCTGAGTAAGGCATGACTATCATCAACCCAGGAATATCGGACGTGGCTGCCGAGAGCAGAACTCCGAAAGGCACGGCTTCACTGGGTTCTCTGCAGGGTTCGGGTATAGTAAGAGTGAAGATGTCCGCTGGAGAAGGGGAGGAGGTAGCCGAATATGGCCATGTTATTGCGTGCGATTTGGTCATGGCCAATGCATATTCATGACCTTCCCCGAAGAAACACCTTATGGGCTCTGTATTCACGAGTTTGAAAGGTTAGAATGATAGAATACAACCCAACAAATCCTCTCTCTTTAAGTTATATCCATTCAAAGGCAAGACTTGCCTGTGTGTAAACTTCGAATTGCCTCTGGGAGGGAAGGTAATTGAGAGACTGTGTAAAAATCTGTTTTTGACTACATCGCGGTGTCAGTGATTATTCGACCAAGGGATCAGGAACTGAAAAAACAAACCAAAACAACCGTCCCGTCGTTCTCCGTTTCTCGCCTTTCCTGTTCCCTAAGAACCCTTATTGGAATATCCTTCAAACCAGCAGCATTGTGCTCGGCAGTCGACCTCAAATCTGTCAGGTTGTTCGACGCATGCTCTTGGACTCTTTCCTGGGCAATAGAGCTGGTCTGGCTCAGCGACGGTAGTTCGTGACTGTCATAGCGCAAAGCAGAGCGCTGTCTTTTAGCTCTTGGCGGCTTGTCCGCATCATCAAGACTTGTACGTTGGCGCCTTCGAGTACTGCGTATAGAATCCGTTGATGAATGTGAAACCTTCGGGACGAACATTGTTCAATTTGGGCTGAATGATACGTAACAGGACCGAAACTGTAGTTTATCTTGTTTGAGAAATGGTAGAACAACAGTAACCGAAGAAGAGAAGGAGGTTTGGGATAGATAAGGGAGATCATACGCAAGAACTTAGGTGCAAGCTCAACGGTCATCCAGTCGTGTATAATGTTATCAACCGGACGTACATAATACAACGTTTGTCTTGCGAGCGGATACTTGTGCTAAGGCAACATCTTGATGAAAATAAGATCGCCATGTCACGTGACTGAGCTTGTCATCATAAGGGTTTCAAACAAACAAACAGCTAGCGCAAACAAACCGGTAGCACCACTGGGGCGGCACAACCTTAAAATATGTCCTGGTATAGTCTCCCTCATTTTCACTGTATGACAGAGGGTAACTGACATCTCACTTTCTAGATTTCCGTCTGGCCTCCTCTTAAGCAGTGCTCATTATGAACTTGACGCAACGGTAGCCAAGCCGTCTTAGGATTCACCTAAACATCATTCCAGCATTTACTCTGTAAATAGCCAACCGGACTATTGCTTGGCTGACTAGAATAGAGCAGCCGGAAAAGTACAGCGTATGGGGGCTAAGAAACCTGGTGCTCTTTCGCCGAGATTCCAAGCGACCTGAGGGGCCATACTAGTCCTAAGCAATTATCTAGGGAACCATAGTGCCTAACCTACTCCGTATACTGTAATACAACTAACTGTACTCCGTACACTAACTAACTATAGATAAATAGATTACCCGGCTTATTAATTATTTTGCACGTGATAAAGTCTTGTTCTGTTGTACGCTCACCCACAAGCATGCGTGGGTATATACATATATCCAATGGCATGGCACACCCTTCATTGTCTTGCATTTGACCTCATGATTTACAGCAACATAATGCCCATAAACTCGACTGAAAGTGGCTTTGTAATAAAACAATGGGCCCCTCTTTATGAATATCAATAAGAAAAAGAGACAGAAAGAAAATGCTCGCAGCTCTTGCTCAGTCCAAGTACACCTCAGCTCTCAGAGTCCCATGGCACCATTACCCCTGTGCACATTATAGTCTACAGTATCGGAGACTTCATGGCACGGTCTCTTGCGCACATAGCGCCATGCGGACCGCGCTCTTTTTTCCTGGTAAGGATTCTCAATTTATCTCAACGTTAACCAGTGAATTAACATGGATTCATAGGCCATGGGGTGCAACGTGTGGGAATGGCCAAACCCTGGGTTGACGGTTTCCCCACTCTTGCCAACCGCTTTTTGGATGAGATGGATAGCATTTTGGGATTTCGGCTCTCTCGGATTATCTCCGAGGGTCCAAATTCAGAACTTAACAAGACCGAGAATACCCAGCCTGCTATAATGGCAACATCGATACTAATACTTCGTATACTCGAAGAGCATTATGGATTCGATACGAGATCCCGTGTGAACGTTACACTTGGGCACAGTCTAGGGGAATTTTCTGCGTTGGTTGCTGGCGGTTACCTTGATTTCAGTGACGCATTGCGCCTTGTTCGACGTCGCGCAGTGATAATGGCACAGTGTACGCAGCGTGTCTCCGAAGCATACGGCGGAGATTATGGCATGGTAGCACTTGTATGTGAGCCAGATCATATGGATGGATTGCTTGCAGCCACCCGGGAGTTCCTCAACTTGGCACCCTCCGCTTGGACGGATGATTCAACTTCCGGGTCACCCTCTATCCAACAGGTCATGCTTGCAAATATCAACTCCAGGAATCAGATTGTACTCAGTGGGAGCATTGAAAAGATAAGGACACTCTTAATACAGCTTCGTCAATTTGGAGGTCATGATCCGCGTGCCGTGCGACTGAAGAGCGAAAGTCCATTCCACAATCCTATAATGGCCCCCGCGGCATGTTATATGAGACATGCATTGGAGCAAATAGACCTTAATTTTCCTGCGCATTTCCCTTGCATATCGAATGTTTCCGGCTTACCCTTTAGCTCTAGGAGCGAGCTCAAAAGGCTTTTGTCGGAGCAATGTGTTGAAACAGTGAGATGGTGGGACAGTGTTCGATATCTAGATATTGAACAAGGAGTCAAGCGGTGGATTGGCATAGGACCTGGGAAGGTTGGCAGAAATCTAGTTGGAAAGGAAGTAGGGAAAGTTATGGCAAAAGGCGGCGGTGTTTGGGCTGTTTGCGACCCTCGTGAGCTCGAGGCTATATTATATTCTTTGGAACAGACAGAACACGATTATTGAGGACTGTCCCCTATAGGAGAAATCATAAGCGTTAGGTACCATAATGGCAACGATTTCACTGACTCGCGTCTTGAGCTGCTTATTCCCACTGCCACTTTCCTGTTGTTCCCGCGACTTGGCGATTCTGGGTACGGTATTCAATGTTGGTGCACCGGTCCATTGCTTAGCTAGATAAACAAGCAACCCCTCTAATCTATAGACAATTTCTCATGCTCGAAAATTGATCTAGATTATACATTTGTTGGCCCTGCAACGTGAATTGTACATTATAGAGAGCTAACGCCTGGCACCCAAGATTCACCAATCCGTTTAACTTCCGCGACAAACTTCTTATCGGTGATCTGTAAGACATCAGGCGCCGCGAAAGCTGACTTGGAAATAGGATTGTGAGCATCTGGGAGATAGAACGGATTTTGTAGCAGCCGAATGTACGCGGTCTGCAAACACCGAAACACCTATAAACACTATGGTTAGTCCTGATTCTTCTCAAAAGACCACGTGCTAAGGCTGGTACAAGTAACAAGGTCTACCAACAGGTTTGAGATCCGATTCTTTAACGGTAGGCCCGTTGATTCCCTTGGTGCCTTCCATTTCAGAGTTTCTTGATTGGCCTAATAGGTCGATTATAACTAGGAATTTCACACCAGTAGTTGTCAGCCAACCGTAAGCTGCGAGGCGCTCATCCATGGCATAGAGAAGTCCTAGGTCTTGGTCTATCGACGTCTGCTTTTGGCGTATTTCAAAAATGTCCAGACATGAATTTAAAATAAAGGAGAAATCGATGTTATGGTTTCCATATGGGGGAAATAACGAGATATGCAGTGGATTGTCCTTGAATGTGTTAGCATCGACTTTACTAACTAGTAGCTGGACATGGAGAGGGTATCATACAGCTTTCCCAATTACTCCAATGCAAGCAATCCTTGGTTCCGGCATTCTGCCCTCCTACTTTCTGTTCACCCGTTGGAGTTCAATTGGACAAGTGGACGTGAGAAAGGGTCTTAATGCGCTCGCTAGAGGTGATGTATCCTTATCCGTGGACTGTACACTGGTCGCGGATTTGGAGATTTCGGAGCGCCTAATTTGGTACCAAGCAGATAAGAAAGCAAATCCAGGACCTTACGTAGACGTCACTTAGCAAAAGAATTCGGAGTCCCGTAGTCCTGAAACAAGAACACTTACCTACGTTGCTTCCAAAAGGCACCAAGTAATCAAGAACCCGGGGCGATGTTCATAGGGGTCGTTTTACAGGATTTCCTATCCCTGTGCTGTTAAGTCCACTTTGTCCACTGTGCCTTATATGCTGATTGAGCACTGACAAGTAGTTGCAGTATGGAGTAGATACTTGGGCCAGCCCAGGATTTGCGCCTCACGGAACTACCTCGAGAGTACGGATCCCTTAGGTCCCCTTGACATATGGAATCTCCGAGCTAACTACAACCCAAGCCGCTTAGTGTTCATCTGGGTCACGGAGGAGTGGCACTGAGCCTGCTAGCCAATGAAATAATAGCAAATGTATATTACGTAGATAATGTGTTAAGCTTGATACAAAAATTGTGTATTTAATTGAAATACATGGTATTACTTACATCTTTGGGGGAAATGTTGCAGCATTGATAATGTAATACACAAATATAACAATACAAGAAGATCTTTGTATCAGTATCATTACACCAGGCACTCCGCTGAAACTCCGCTCAATGTGAAGTCTTCCGTGATACTGCAATCCCATTATTCTATCTCATTGCCACATTGGCTTCCCAAGTTACTATAGCCTTGATTGTTAGGAAGTACCATTTGGATTTCTCTACAAAATCCTCTAGGATGCTTCCCTTCACTAGAAGCACCGCTTTGGGTGCTCGCAATGGTAGGTATCTATTCTCATTCTCCCCGGCCTGGGTTGAGCACTCACACACCGGACAGTGCGTCCCAACCTTATAGCTTATAGCGCTCGAATTCGACCGATTGCTCTGCTGTCTACCTCAGCAACCAAATCAGCGACAGCACTTGAGCAACATGGGCAATCTGGGCAGTCTCTTTCCGCATCTGGCAAGATAAGGAAGGAGGTTCCTCTCCCAAGTCAGGAAAAGAAAGAGGGTGCGATGCAATACGTCCTGTACGAAACCTTTGCTCTGCACTATTCGGCTTCTTATTCATGGAAATCTAACCACGACTGATTAGGACTACGCTCGATCAAGTTGCTAATTGGGCACGCCAAAGTTCCTTGTGGCCCATGACATTTGGGCTTGCCTGTTGCGCTATTGAGATGATGCATTTATCTACACCGAGATACGATCAGGATCGCCTTGGAATCATTTTCAGAGCGTCGCCCCGACAGTCAGATGTGATGATCGTTGCTGGCACTTTGACAAACAAGATGGCACCGGCTCTCAGACAAGTTTATGATCAGATGCCGGATCCCCGATGGGTCATCAGCATGGGCAGCTGTGCAAATGGCGGCGGCTACTACCACTATAGTTACTCTGTTGTCCGTGGATGTGATCGAATTGTCCCCGTTGACGTTTATGTCCCAGGATGTACGCAAGCCCTCTCTAACCTGCCATTCATGATATGAATATTAGCTGACTGATAAAATAAAGGCCCCCCTACCTCCGAGGCGCTCATGTACGGAATCTTCCAACTTCAGAAAAAGATGAGACATACCCGTATCACACGCATGTGGTATCGTCGTTAGACGCGCTGTTCGAGCAGCTCTACTTTATCAGCGGCCTGAAGACGCCTTATCACTATCAAGATATGCTACGCTGTTGCTTGTCAGTCCCAGATACAGTACCAAATATTTTGACACTTCTATCCTGTGCATCTTCTGTATCACTATCGTTTATCTTTTCTTGTTTCTAGTATGTATACCTGTCAATGATCTTCGTGAGTCCTTTCAACGGGTATTACTATAGACTGCAATCTTGTCCAGTTTCTCCTTCCCTTATATTACCAGTAGTCAATCTGTTGGCAACCTGGTACTGAAGGGCGTGTATTGCATATGACTTGTCAATGGAGACGCTATACACATGTTTTTCCATCCGTAATCCTCCACAGATCCATAAAATTTATAACTATTCCTCTGTCCCGGGAATATGCTGATATTTTTTGACACGTGTATTTTGCTGTCGTATGGCGGTGCTTTTTCAATGACTTGTTCATTCGTCTGTTGGTCAGATGGCTTCTGTGGTAACGATATGCTCCAAACCCAAGTAGGTAGTTAGTGATGGCGAGGTGGCAAGCGTGAGTTTATAGATCGACTAGGCGCGCGGGTCTAAATCATATTGATTAATTCAGCAGCACTAACACAGTAATCTCCAATCCGCCTATGTGTTTTTCCATGAAATGGTCTATGGATCGCATGTTACGTTGTTTCTTGATGGAAAATATAATAACAGGGATTCCAATACTTAAAAGTTTAGATACTGCGTAGGTAGTCATCGGTTCTTTTTGATGGGACCAATGCAGCTTACACCGGCTGATAGTATTTTATCAGGGGAACGCATCTATGGAACTTGTCTCATCCCTGGGCATGGTAGGTCCGTCCTATGTCAGGGCATACTCCAGAAGCCCTAGTAGATTCCCATGTCATAGATATGACGGGTTGGCCTCGTTAGAGTCTCAGCCCTTTGTTTAATTCACGGTCTTGATTTGTACACTCCAAATTCCCAATTAATGTTCAGCTATATCTTCTGTTGGCGACCTGGTTCACACAGAAGCTTTCTTGTCGGCAATACTATTACAAAGGAAATCAGATCTTGCTACAACCTGGTAACATGGAACTATAAATGATACTATAGATCCTCATGGGGTATATCTGAACCTCCTTCTCTGTGTTCAAAGACGAGAGAAAGGAAGTTACAGGGTGTACTTGGGAACTGGTGGTTTCTGAGTTACATTAGCTATGACGCATGTAGATAAAATTGAATGAACTTTGAACAGTATATCAATATAGTTATATCTAGCATCTTCAATAGAAAGGTCTAATGTCTCTGAATAGTATATTGAAGGCTAAAACAATGCATACACCCCTGCGCCCATCTATCAATATAGGTAAATGACTTCTTCAATAATGCAACATGTGTAGCTCCAATAGAGTAAAATGCTACTGTAGACTATTGGCAATCAATCTTCATAGAAAGTATCCAAAGACAATGTTACAATTAGAAATCAACTGCCTTGAACCATAATTATCTGTTTACAAAAGCTGTGAAGCTAGAACAGAAAATCTTAAACATACACATAGTCTGTTCAGTTCCATGGAAATGAAAGGGTGTTGTTCTTGAGCTTGATGAATTCCTCAGAAAAGGGCCAGGAAACTAAGTAGAAGCATAAAGAGCATCGGAAGAAGTAAATGTAATGATAATATAATCCAGATAGTCTATAGTAACTAATAGGTACTGAAGGAATGTGTTTGTTATCACATTGACTCTGCTTCTACTTGTTTTTTTATGTTCCAAAAAGAAACCACACACATGCTGAAATTATCATTTGGGATATAAATTATCATCTATAACTGAGGTTTGCTAGAATCAACAATCTAAATACCACTGAGCAGTTCTATATACACTGTGAGTGAATTTTTGGTTCTGTGAATTTTTGGTTCTAGACCATCATAAGATTAGGAGGGGTTTTCAATGTTCTGATCCTCGGGATGTCATGGCTGGAAGGTAAAAAGAGCCTTGGCTGAATGTAATTGCTTTACAAAGTCCCCGAAGTATCTACACGCAAATGAGAATAATATGTAGGTAAAATCGTCGGTCAAGTGAGTGGGCCTGGGTGCTCTATCAGCAGCCTAGCTCTTTAGCCTGGAGTGTTAGATAGTTAATAGATAATTCATTGGCATTATTACAGATTTTCGTAATTCTGTACGGACCGCCGCTAGTACATAGATATGGTGTAGTAGGTAAGGTACCTAGGTAATGTACCGCCTCGGTACGATATTACTAGCCTGGTGTATCTACTTTTTTTTTTCTTCCGATTCTAAAAACTTTCTTCCCTCAGGTTTTGAACCTAGGCACTAGATATCTTTATCTTCAACGCCCAGGGATATTCAACATGACAGAACATGATTCTGGTCGTACTGACAGCGTTGCAGAAATTTCTCGTTCAACATCAGCTTCTCTCAATTCTGCATTATCCACACCCTGGACCTTCTTTCATCCCACAACTGAGCTCCAAGCGTCTATAACCGGATTGGCCAAACATTTTCTGGACCCTCTTGCTCTTTCAATAAGCAAAAACCACGAATTTCAGCAAACGCGGACGAAAAAACGCAAACGGTCCAAGGCCGATTCAGGCTTTGAGGATCACTCTTTACAATTACAGCAGCTCTATGTGGAAGGGTTCAGTCCCGAACAAATCTGGGAACAAGCACTGAGAATACTTGATTCGGCGGATCGGTGGCTTGAGAGTGATTACGTCGAGAATACTCGCCATGCACAACTACCCGGAATAGGAAAGGCCGAATTGGACTATGCGACAGTGGATAGTAACAACTCGGAAGATAGCGAATTGGCGAGTCTTCCAGATAGCCACTCCGATGACTCGGCTACCAGTGATGAAGAACCCGCCGAAGATTCTTACTCGGAGATTACAGACGCGTCTGATGATGACAACTTGGATCGTCATGAGGGTTTTGACGAACCTTCAGATGAAGATGCCGCCTCTAACGAATCTAGTAAACGTGGTAATGATTTCCACACATACACCGAGGACGCCTTTGGACTGAACGATGGATTCTTTTCCATTGATGATTTCAATAGACAAACAGACGTCTTGGAAAGACAAGACATCAAAGGAGGCCCGGCTGATATGGAGAGCGATGAGGAGGACATCAATTGGGATGCTGATCCCTCCACTGAAGGCTCGGGGCTGGCCCCGAGGAGAAGAGCCATGCCCGAAAAAATGACGATGGACGAAGATGTTATGGACGACAGTGAGGAAGAAGGGCCGACATTTGATAGCGCCAACATCGAGGATGATTCGGATTCGTCAGAAGTCGATTTGCATAATAATTCACTAGAGGAAACAGGGTGGACAAATACCAGTGACATCAAATACGCTGATTTTTTCGCACCACCTCCTCGAAAAGTGTCGGTCAAAGATTCAAGACCGTTGCCGAAGTCTCAGCCAAGTACAACAATTGATGATAACGACATCGACAGGGCAATCGGTGATGTTCGACGTGATTTGCTTGAAGAAGACGATGAGGATTCCGGTGAAGACAGTGGAACTCCTAACGATGGGGTGGATGGCCCTCAAACCCAACGATCGTCTCACGAGAAACAGCGGGCACGCATCGCCGATGAGATTCGTCGTCTTGAAACCGCCAACGTTGCGAAGAAGGAGTGGATGCTTTCCGGAGAAGCTAGAGCCGTTGAGAGACCAATCAATTCTCTCATTGAAGAAGATTTGGAGTTTGAAAAAATAGGAAAGCCTGTCCCGGTCATTACTGCAGAAATTTCTGGCGATATTGAAGAGCTCATCAAACGTCGGATCGTTGCGAAAGAGTTCGATGAAGTAATCCGTCGCCGGCCCGGTGTCTCTGATGCTCGGGATACGAAGAGAGCGCGGCTCGATATTGACGACACCAAACCCCAACAGAGCCTCGCAGATATCTATGAGACTGATCATGTTCGAGCTACTGATTCTAACTACGTTGATCCAAAGAATCAGAAGTTAATTCGTGATCGCACCGAAATATCGACTTTGTGGAAGGATATCAATTCACAATTGGACACGCTATCCAATTGGCATTACAAACCGAGAACTCCTCAAGCAGACATCAATGTGGTCACAGATGTTGCGACAATCATGATGGAAGACGCCCAGCCTACGACTGGGAGTGCTGTTAACAGCATGGCAACATTGGCGCCACATGAGATTTATGTACCTGGCAGTGACGGCAGAGTTTCTGGGGAGCTTGTTCTGAAGAATGGGGCATCTGTTTCTAAGGACGAAATGTCTCGCGAAGAGAAGGCCCGACTTAGGCGGCGGCAAAAGAAGCAGAATAAGGCGGACGATTCTCAACCCAAGCAGCAAAGCGCTAAAGTTGCTGCAAAAGAGCAAATAATGTCGGATTTGAAAAAGGCCGACGTTAAAGTGATTGGGAAGGAGGGCGAGGTCACAGATATCCATGGCAAACAAACATCTTCAGGGAGGAGGAATGGCGCAGATACACTGAAGCTCTAAGGCCAAGCTGTGTACTTGGGGGAATGCTCGAGCCTTTCATTGGGTTGTGGAATGTGGTTTTGCAAGTCTGCCTGTATCTTCACTCTATTTATCTATTTAATCGCCTGTACCACAATGATCGATCACCTTCCTTACAACCTAGAAGTTACTGCGGTTGCTTCTCCAAAGCTTTATTGTCGTGTTTTGGGCGAATCAAGTAAAGAAAAATGTTTTCACGCCCATAGGCCCCGGCCTCAGGGTCATCACGGACTTCTTCAATGGAGAAAAACTTCTTCGCAAGTTTCATGAAACGAACATCGGCTCGTCTACGCTTTTTGAAGCAAAAGTAGCAAAGGGAGTTGGGTCCGATCAAATCCCGCAGCGTCGCAACCAAGAGAGGAAATGCCGGTTCGAAGTAAACGCAGTCTGCGGCAAGGATGATTGATGGGTGTTTGGGTATGGAAAGAGGAAGTGGCTCCCCCCAGTCCAGTATTGTCGCAGTGACTTGAGAGGATAAATTGTTGAGTCGGATGTTTGTTTCCATCAATGGTAGCATCGGTGCTTGGTCTGTGATATATACTTGGGATAAGCCGATATCGCACCCGCGAGCGACAGCTAGTCCAACAAGTCCACCACCGGCCCCCAACTCAACACTAAAGGATATTAGTAACGAAGCCAGTTAGGAAGACGTCGGAGGCAATGGTCTGCACTGGAGTTTACAAACATGGTTCCCTTGAGATCAGAGCGATGCTGGTTCAACAGGTATTTAGCCAACACCATGCCAGCCGGCCAGAGTTGGCCCCCGCATCCTTCTTTCAGATCTTCCTCAAGAAGTAAAGGTTCTTCCAGAAGCCCGTCAAAGGAAACATTAGTACACCCGGCAGGTTTGCTGTCTCTCGGGGGAACCAATGCTTCACTGACATCGAAGGCTGCCGCATCCGAATCAGTAACATGTTTGTAGTCAGGAATGAGACCTTCCATGGCTAAAGAACTTTGTGATTGCTGGTAATTACTCCAATATCTGTGTTCTGGCCAAAGGTAGAGAGGGCGGCTGATATGGTGGAATTGGGAAAACTTTTCAGCAGATACCAACTAACTAGCACTAGCTTCATGCTATTTTGAATTTTCGATAACCCACCCCGCCTCCACCCGTTATCTTATCTTATCATCCTCCGACTCGTCTTTTTCAACTTGTACTGTAACTATGGGCTTCAATACCCTACATACCTGGTACAATGCAGCCTGCTTTGGGCTCTAACTGACAACCATCCCATTGGATCAGCTAATTCTGGATTATCCTTTCAGTCAGCAAGCATGCAAGCCGAACATGGCTGCCTCTAAAGTACGGGCTTCAAACTAACCTAAACACTGGATTATCTATAACAACGAGTTTATCAGATCTAATGGAACTTACTATTTGGTGAAGATGATAAGGTCCTGATTTCTCATCACACTGATTGGATATTGGTCATCCAATGACCAGAGACGCTCTTCAAACTAATGATCGTACTCGTTCGTACTTGTACCTGATTTGGAACTCCCGCTGTCAGCAATTGTCTACAACTACTGCTAGAGCAATCGCGACAGGGAAAAAGAGTCGAAAAAACCGGACCCCAGCAGTAAAACACGTAATTGGAGTGATCATCTCATTATACAGGGAAACCTGGTCGATTGCGTAGGTAGGTACGTTCCTAGGTAGTAGTAAGCTACGGAGGACCACTACCAAGTCTGCGGGTTGACGTCATTACTAGCTCTCCGGATCTTCCTTGCCGCACCCGTCAATCAAGTAAATGCTGCATGATTGGTGTGCTCAGGATTAAGTCATATACCGGGACGCTGGACCTCATGGGGGTCATTGCCATGCTTTGATACATGTCGTTGGATCATGACGACGTCACTGCCGGCTTAGCTACGATGAAGTGATCCTGCTCCCATTTATGGTCTAAAAAGGCCTTAACATCTCATCGTTCCTATTCTTTCGCATAAGTCTACACCACTATACTTACAGCAACAGACAGCTAAGTATCTACTCCATTAATCAAGATGGCCACTCTTCACTGTAAGTATCATGTTTGCTGGAATATGCTCTATTCCTCCTTGCTATATCCTTGCGAGTGCTTTGACGCTGAGACTTTGATTGCTAGATCTACCTCCCGTGAAGCCCTCGGCTATTGCCATGGGCACGTTCTTCACCCATACTGCTTCTCTCGGCATCCTCGCCCCTGTCTTTGGTGACACCTATCATCGCGCCCAAGCCGCCAACACCAAAGAAGAGTTTATCAAATCTAAAGAGGCTGCCGGGGCCGCGGCAGCCTGGGGTAGTTCTCTGGTCGGGAGTGCTGTGCAGACTTATGGCGTTGCAGCTTTGATCAATGCTACGGGCACCCTAAGCTACAAGGGTGCGGCTTATCTGGGAAGTCTGGTCTTTATGGCTAGTTCTGCTCCAAGCGTATGTACCTTCCTATATCATACTTGACTACGGAAGCTTACTCTGACTTTGATATAACAGCTTATTAGCCACGTCGTCGCCGAGAAGAGGCCCTTCGATACTGTTGCTGTAGGCTTGGTTAGCAGGGTGTTCGAGACCGTTGGACTGAGTCTTTTCCTCACGTGGTGGGGAACACGGACGAATCCCTTTGACTAAACAACCAAACTGATACCTCGCGGTTGGTGTCGTTGAGAGTGCGCGTGTCATATAGTACTCTTACATAGGCCTTTTTGGTTCTACCTGATCATATGTATTTAAGTAGTTGCAGTCTTCAAAATCTCATATCATCTAGTGTTGAGTTTCAAACGCTTCTATTTGAAAAGACTGAGGAGGTTATAAGTACCAATGTAAACGAATACATGAACCCAACCCCAACCACCCCCCCGGGTCTCCCTCATCTTACAAAAAATCCGATACTCACGAGCGCCTATTTTGGACGAAAATTAGCATGGAAACAAGCTGGTGCCTATCTTTTACAACAGCGCGACGCTCACAGTTGGGGGCAAATTTTACATTAATCTTGAATCCGAGCCGAGGTCATGATTCATGCTGTCCTCCTATATCGAATAGACATGCAGGTGCACTCTAAATTGAATGGTGTTTTAAGTAAATGACGTAGACAAAGTAGATTATTACTGGTAGGGGAATTTATGTCTTACGGACAGCCGTGATTGGCTAGATCTTGCAGCCGCCCAATCTGAAGAAGGTTCAAAGTCTTTCCTGGACAGAAAATGGGAGATCGCGTCGTCTACTAGTAGTGTTAATCGCGTATCCGCACCCATTGTAAGAGAACACTGCGCATCAAGTACGGGGCGAAATTATGAGAGCAAAAAAGGAAGGAAAGAAAGAAAAGGATGCGATAAGAACGGAAGCTAAGCAAAGTTAGGCGGAATATAGACAAGGAACATAAAAAAGTATCGCAAATACATTTAGCCTCTAATGGTAGTAACAGCCCAGCCAGGTGATCAAACAAACGTGCGGCAGGGATACCTTTGGACAAGAGTCAGCACAATACGACCAATTAAGGATGAGGTATACATACACATCAGGATACCCATGATCGTGGTCCAATTGGTATTTAGTCGTCCCGGGAGCCAGGTTGCAAGGCATCGGTGGCAAGCCGTTAGCACCCAAAACGCTCTTCACACCCTTTGTATCCTTCTCGAAAAGCCCAGCCAGTCCACGCTCCTCCCCCTCTTGCTTGACAGTGGTGAGTTGCTTTTCGCCTGCCTCGCCAATCTGGAGAACATTGTCTTTGGAAGCCGCTTGGCTACCCACACTAAGCAGACCAACAACATCCGCCTGGTTGACTTTGCTGATCCTGGGGTAATTCCTCCGAACATCACGCTTCCAATAAGGGTTGTCCGCGATGTCTCCTGCCGGAATGGTGACAGGGTCGTCGTACGACAGAGGGGGCAAAGCCCCGGGGGTCGGAAGGCGATACTGGGAGTTCAAGGGGACACCAGTAGAACGGTTCGGGTCCACGGAAAGCAGGCGACGAATACGCTCCCATATTCCGGTTGACTGAAGGGTGTATTTCTGATCGAAGCTCAGCAACCATGAAATCCATACTCTGGAGCGAGATAATTCCTTACTTGGTTGATAGAGACCGCATTCGAGGCGGCCTTGGCTGCCTTCAAAGCGTTGCGAGCCATGGTCGTATAAGATCCTGTGTTGAGTCTTGTATCAGCATCATGGTAATTCCCAATTGCCGTGCATATAGCTATAGGGTTAGTCCATAGTGCAAAACATACCTCTGTCAAACAGGAGAAGGTTGAATTCGGTTTAGTCGGAGTTATATCCGGAGGGCTCTTTGTGGTCCATCCTCGGAATCAAGAACTTGGTAGTAACATCGGAATCGGGCTGTCTGAACGGATCAGCTATTATCCGATATACCTTTCTAGCGAATAACACCCGCCCCAATATAATGATGTGAGTGCACCTCGAGGATGAAAATAACTCCTTTTGAAACTGGCTAAACATTTGTCTAGGTCAAGTACGTTATTTCTCGATAAATACGGCACTATTGTTGTTCTTTTGGCAATCAATCTGGTCGTAAATTAGTGACGATCGCATCACCACATCTTATATGGAATCAATATAACTCACCCAACCGCCCGTAGATATAACAGTCACTATCTCAATCAAATAAAACCTCATTGTGGCTTCCCAAGTCTACTTATTTTACAATCCAGTTCTCGGTCACGTGTTCTTCCTCTTTGAAGCTTCGATGATCCTGCGGCCTCAGTGTAGTGACTTGTGGTGTGTAACCTGCTAAACAGTTGTACACATCTGTCGAATGCACCCTATATCCAGGATGCATGCATGGATTTGCGGCGTTCCGGTACTATTCCAACAAATGCCTACATAAGCATATGGTATTTTTTTGACTTTATTGTAAAGCATCAGGCTTCTTTCTCTCGCCAAATCCGCATGAGATCCTGCTGCGTAAGCAGCTCAATACAGTTAAAAAAGATTTCGATGTTGCTTATCCGCCCGGACTTGAATACCAAATCAACCTACATATTTCCTACATCTGCTTAACCGCTATTGGACATCGTGGGTACCAACTGCAGCACAGCTTCTAGCGTCGCAGCTGGACCACCGGCCTCCAGAAGAAGAACATCTCCACCTTTGCCTACAGCAAAGACACCTCTTGTCGTCCCTTTGGGGTGTTTCTTGAAACCCAGGGCTGAAATGAGTGTGGAATCACCGTCGCAGAGGAGGGTATATGGCAGTTTTTGCTTGGTTTTGAATGTGGTGTTTGCTTTAGGTGAATCGGCCGACAACCCATAGACAGAGAGCCCCGCGGAAACTAGATTTTGGTAATCATCGCGGAACATGCAGACCTGCTTTGTACCTATTGGCTGTAAGTCAAATTCGACCAGATTTGAAACAAAGTAGACAGGTGATAGAATTGCACCATGGCTGAAAGATATCAAAAGAACGCGCGCTAAAAGAAGCTGTGGGTGGAAATGTAAACTTACAGCCTGGAGTCGAAGCCCGAGGGTAGGTAAATATCACGACACCAGATTTGCTCATATCGACAAGGCTTTTGAGTGTTGTCTTCGCGCCCTCATTCGTCTCGATTTCCCCACCAAAGCCATCTGCAACGATCACATCGCCAACTTTGGGAATGGTCCTAGATACAGTGCTCGAGGCAGTCTCAGCTTTACCCGTTGGCTGTTTTGGTGAAGTCGTAGGTTGTTCTGATTTCTTGCTTTTCTTTATAGGTGCTGGGGTTACTGCCGGGGCCTTTCGCTTTCGTAGTTCAACCATTTTTGTTGGTGTTGGTCACACTGATCGCACGTATGAAATGATAGATGGAGTTTATATTGGGTATTTGACAATCAATGAATTGCTAGAAGTAATTAGCTTGGCAGGATAGATATGCGGCTATGCACCTAGTAGTTAGTAGCGCGTAATAATTAGTACATATTATGTATCTTAGGTAATGGCTGGATTATCAACATGCTCGTGATCATCTGCCTGGGGCCATGGCATTTGATTAGTATTCCTTCTCCACTAGCACTTGAGGTCGAGGCATAATCATATACTTAGTTCGAGGCTTTTATAGTTTCCATAAACCTGTCACTGTTATGCTTACAAATTTGCCTCATTTATTGACTATCTCTACCTTAGAAAGTAAAGTATATGGGTCTTTTGGCACAATGCAAGGTACTCAGTGACAAGAGAGGTTAGTGTGGCTAACAATAACGGTAGTATGCCGGAAAATCCCGGCCCACGGCCGAGCCCCTGCCTTCTCCGTTTGCCCTGGAGCACATGTTACGGGAGGGGAGGAACTCAAACTAGAATTTTCTTTCCCTTTCTGGCCATTCCACTCTTGGTCCATTGCCACTCACACTCATCCTTAACTGGCGCCCTGTACCAAAGTTGAATCATACTTATTTTGTAGCTGAATGTTTGCCTTCGTTTCATATTGGTATATATTTATCTGAACTTGCATCCCATCACACTCGATCGCAGGAAACACACCTTAAACAATAACCAAATCGTCTTTCCTCCTATATGTCTTTCGATATCTATCAGGTTTCCATATTGTGACCATATTCTTTCGACTACTGCTAAGGTCTGATCCGGCATTTGTATCGGAAGCCTTGTTTCAGTTCCCGCCGTATCAGAATCATGAAGGTGTTCTCCTCGGCTTGCACTTTCAATTATTCTTGGGAAGAAGTTTCGACGGCGAACTGGCGCAAGTACTGCCCATGGAATGACAAGTCTACCCATGTTGTGGGGGTTGATACATTATCTCGCACGGTTGACTCCCAGACTGGCATCGTATGTCCTGTCCCTAACCTGGAAAAAGCGACTTTTCTGGTGATATGTTGACTCACATGAGAATTTTAGTTACGGACGGAACGCCTAATCACCTGTTCACAATCTGCACCGCAATGGGTTTCTTCGCTATTCGGAGGCGATGCGACTTCACACGTTTACGAGGTCTCGTATGTTGACCCGGTTTCGAAGAAAGTAACCATGTCCTCGTCCAATCTCACATGGTCCAACCTCCTAAATGTCCGAGAAACCGTTATATATAAGCCATCCATCTCCAACCCATCTTCGATCACGGATTTCAGCCAAGAGGCGAAGATCACTGCGCTTTGCGGCGGGTGGCAGAAAATTAAAAATAAAGTGGAAGAGGCGAGCGTGGAACGATTCAGTCAAAATGCAATCCGGGGCCGTGAGGGGTTTGAGGCTGTCCTCGAGATGAGCCGGCGAGTTTTCAGCGAGCAACGTGAGCTGAACAAAGAGAAACTTCAAATTTGAAGTCTGACACTTCGGTTGGAAGCGTTCTCGATACTGGGCTATGCTCCACCACACCACTCCATATTGAGCATTTGCATACTCGGCACCGGCGTTCATGAACATTCTCAAAAGTCCCATTCATCTCGAGCGCACGGCGTGGCTTGGCGTTTTTTGTTCTCCTTCTCGGGTGTATTTCCATTATGACCTGTTTTTCTGTCGACCCATAGCATCTGTTGTTGTTTTGCAAGCACGGTTTACGATTATGTATTAAGAAAAATAAATAGTACAGTGCGATCTAATAAGATATTAGACAGAAGCAGAAAAGAAGCGTCGACATCTGTATGTTGGTAGACCAACTTGTCACTTCATGTGTTCCCTTAGAGACGGGATCAGAAACAGCTACCATAACATCAACAGGGTCCCATGGTTTGATCAATATTCTGATCGGATCATAATTTAGTGGCCTGGCGGTGTCGATCGTATGACGATCATATTAACCAGTAGATATATACAATTAATGAAATAGAGCACGCCGAAGACAGCCTTTTGCAAACAAATAACAGCACAACTAACCTATGAGGCCTCCCAAAACCACGCGGCTAACACCCGAAACTTCACTTTTAGCATTATTACGGCTTGCGTCTTCGAACTCTCGCACGACTCCCGCCACCATGATCTTTCGAAGTCTTGCATCTGCCTTGGAGAACAATTCGCCCAAAGCAACAGTGCAGATAGAGGGTGTCGACACCAGAGACACAAGCCGTGTATAGCAGTCTATCAACACATCGCAAAGAGTTACGAATGTCTCGAAGTAGTCGGGCTCAAAGGGCAATGATGGTGTCAGCAGATAAGAATATTCTTCCCCAGGAAGAAGTTCTGAAGCTTCCGTGTGGGGGAAGGAGGCGGCAGCGGCGGCCGTAGTAGACGTGGTAGCATTTCCTGCAAGTCCTTTCAGATCCGATGGGTCGCTTGACTGCATGGGTAGCCCGATCTCGGTTGCAGAGCTGGCCCTTCTTGCTTTAGTGCCGGCATGCGCGGCACGTTTGAACATCTGTGGGATACGCGCCCTGGCTAACGTTGAAGACGAGCTCCCATCTGGTGGGTGGACTTGTTGGAAGGCTTCGAATTCAATAAGAAGGGCGTTGAGTGCCCGCAGGTATTCACCAGGTGTCGAACTGACGTCTAGAATCGGTGGGAGTGATAGACCAAGGAGGAGATAATTAATCGCACGACGGGAAAGCTTTCGATGCTCAAAATAAGGAATTCGACCAATATCAGCCCTGGAAAAGTGTACCGTGTTGAACCAATAAATTCGGCCCTCATGACTGGAAAGAAAACAGTTTAGCAGTCGCTCATATTCCCATGCCGTATATAGACGACCAAAAGGGTTGACAATGGAGAATTGCGGGGGAAAGCTTACGCCTTTTTTAGGTAGTCCAGAGTAGAGATTCGTTTCGTAGCCATGTCGTGGATATGCTGATAGATTGCCGCAGCACTCTGTGGCCCGAATGCTCCGCTTCCAGCCGTTAATGGAGGAGGTATGCTGCCAGTCGTGACCTCGTGGCCAATACTGGATTTCGCGGTGTCCCTACGAGACAGGCTCGGGGCGAATGTGGAGGAAATCATGTCTGCTCGTGGCTACCGACAGGGCTCTTTGCGGAGCAGCCTGCTCTCAGAAGGAACTCGAAGCACACAATATGTGGAGATGTGAGCGGCCAAAGCAGCTCGTGCATGTGTTGAGTTGTGGGGTATAGCAAAAGGACCGAAAGTTCTATGCGAAATGCGGGTGAGAATGCGACGAGACCTTCATTGACTAGTCTACCCTTGGCCTGATAAGATCTTGTTCTCCACCTTACCCCTGGGGCTCGCCCATTGTCCTAAATGCAGGTTTTATACACCGTTCATGTAAGGGCTGTCAGTCAAATTTCCAGCTTCTTTGACCTTTTGACATTTTGATAATGAAAAGCAAATACATAAAATCAGGGTGCGATAATCTTTCTCTGTCAAATCTTCTGGTGTCTGGAAGAGCTCAATATATACCAACCAACAGTGTATTTAGACTCTTTATCGAAAAATAATATTAAAAAGATCAAATAAATAAATGAACAACCAAATAAAATGGTATAACTTGTACATAACTACTCTAATTCCCGTAAAGATTTTCTAACTATTGGTTCCTCTTCATTGAACACTTGTAAAACCAGGTATGGAAATATGCATTGGGGCGACCTCCCACACTACATAACTGAGACTACCTCTCCGTATACAGTACTACACTGTGTCTACTAGGTACTCTGTACGTTGTAGGGAAACGAAACATATCAATTCTGTATAATCAATATATACCAAATCGGTTTTTAGGAAGTAGTTTTCGTCAACCCGACAACCCACTACCGAGTCGCCGACCAGACTCCACCCCGGGAGTTATGCCCCTCATCCGCCGCCTCCCCCTCCCCCTCCTTCCCCCCCTTCTCCCCTCCGCCTCCCTTTTCCAAGCCACGTGTAGCCCGTCGATTTACAGTTCCTGTGAGAACCCCGATTTGACTCGACTGCCGATAGCACCACCTACATACTAGTACGCCGCCAGACAATTACCTAGGATGAGCAACTGTCCCGAAGAATCAGTCCCTTCTCCGGGGGAGTGGCCTGTGGACCCGCAGGAGGACATTCCTATCTCAGATGATAGAATTTGGGTCGATGGATGCTTTGACTTCAGCCACCACGGTAAGGCCGCATTCGTTTTTATGGTATAATGACACGCCCTAATCAGAATCGAGATCTACAGGGCATGCAGGAGCTATGCTGCAAGCTCGTAGATTGGGGAAAGCACTCTATGTTGGGGTACATTCCGATGAAGCAATTCTCGAGAATAAAGGCCCTACAGTGATGACTTTGGAAGAACGGTTAGTTTACATTTGTTGACTGTCCTTTCCCCCTTGCCCTTCGCTGCTGACACCGACCAACGCACAGTGTAGCTGCAGTAGAAGCTTGCCGTTGGGCAACCCAGTGTATTCCCCATGCTCCATACGTGACGTTTCTGCCGTGGGTCTCCCACTACGGTTGCAGATATGTCGTTCACGGAGATGATATAACGTCGGATAGTAACGGAGACGACTGCTATCGGTTCGTCAAGGCCGCTGGGCGCTTCAAAGTAGTTAAACGAACCCCTGGCATCTCTACTACTGATCTGGTTGGCCGCATGCTTCTATGCACGAGAGGTCATTTCGTCAAAAGCGTAAAGGATACACTTGCCGGCGCGGAAGGGTCCGGTTGTGAGGAAGAACGTCAGCAGTCCGCTGCATACCTTGCTCAGCAGATCCGTGATTATGCCACAGATGAGACTGGCCTGAACCCGGGGTCCAAAGTCTGGCTCTGGAGCGGGTCCAGCTCGGCCAAGCTCGACGATAAAGTCGAAGAGCCTGGATCATTCGAGACACTCGTGGATGGACGGTCGCCCAGACCAGGGCAGCGAGTCGTTTATGTTGATGGGGGGTTTGATCTCTTCTCTTCTGGCCACATTGAATTCCTCAGACGGGTCTTTGCCCTCGAGGAGTCGCAAGGTCGCGAGCGCGGCTGGTATGATGCTGCGCAGAGAGAAAACAGAATCAAGGCTTATGGAGAGGACTACCCCCCAGCCTACATTGTCGCTGGTATACATGACGACAATGTAATCAATCACTGGAAAGGATTCAACTATCCTATAATGAACATATTCGAACGTGGGCTATGCGTGCTTCAATGTCGTGTAAGTCGCAAAGCGCCCCCTCCTCCCCCAGCTGGTTATTTGAACGTGTGTCTAGTAACCGACACATATCTAATTGGTCTTGTTCTAGTATATCCATGCTGTTATATTCTCGGCACCCTTTTCCCCAAGTGCACCATACCTGAAGACTATGCCATTGGGTGTCCCTGATGTAGTCTACCATGGCCCGACTACTTTCATCCCGCTCACTTACGATCCATATACAGCGCCCAGACAAATGGGGATTTTCAAAGAGACAGGCACCCACCCATTTCAAAACGTCAATGCTGGAGAGATTGTCGGGAGAATTCTCAAGAGTAGGGAGGCGTACGAAGCGAGACAACGCGCGAAGCTGCAAAAGGGCGCCGTGGAGGAATCTGTGCGGTCGAAAGAACTTTCAGGGTAGGCGGGAGTTGATTCAAAACGAGATATTGAGAGTAACAATGTAACTATTGTATATAATTGGTGATTGGTCATAGCATAGCTTAGGCACCAGCTGGAAAAGTAACCACATGTATTTGATATGGCATAAGTTTCGATTTCCGTTGATAGATGTTATTGTTACACTAGTTACAAGGCAAATGGATGGTCAAGACAATCCCCGTTTTTGTGGTCAAGTGGTGCACAGTGGAGATTTCAGTCCGATGCTACCAGTACTTCCTTCTCCTCAAGGAGCTTCGCGAGCTCTCCATTTTGATGCATCGACATCAAGATATCGCAACCACCGACAAACTCCTTGTCCAAATAGAGCTGCGGGATAGTAGGCCAGTCCGAGTACTCTTTGATACCTGGGTGGAGACGACATGTTAATAACGTTGCCCGAAACGATGCAAGACAGGTTGTAGTAAAAGCTCTAAGCACAACTCACCTTGACGCAGTTCCGAGTCTTCCAGCACATTGAAGGCAACGAACTTCTTGGGATCCACCCCTTGTAACCCAAGAATCTGTATGCTTGCCCGAGAAAAGCCGCACTGTGGGGTTTCCGGGGTGCCTTTCATGAAGAGGACAACGGGGGCGGAGGCAACCGCTTTGTCAATAGCAGATCTTGTTTCCGTAGACAACAGACGGGCGTAAAGGGCAGAGGGGAGCCTCAGGGCCGGAGCCTTCGGTGGCAACGCGCATGATGGTCGCGAGATCGACCGAAATGCCTGTATACCGTGTAAGCCCAGGAAATCAAGTCAAAAGAATATTGCAAAAGACACTGGCGACGCATGGGAATGACATGATAGACTTACACATGAAAAAGCTGTTCGTGCAAACATGATGGTAGAATCGGCGAATTTACTTATATTACAGCATTCACCTATACCCGTTGTCAAGGTTTGGCCGCTCAAGTATTGGAGGCTCTTGGTAAATCATCCTACCCGGGACCTACAGTTACTCAGCTTGCCTAGGCCAATCATGTCACATGATTGTGATTTATAATTGGGCGTCACTATTGTTAATTATGACATAGTCGATAACCGCTTGGAAGGCGGTGAGTGACGAACACCGATGTACCCCACGTGGCAATTGTGATGATGGTAGACTCCGCGCAGTTTACAGTTGTCTATGTGATCCATTATCTCCTCCCATTGTCATAATGGACAATTCATCCCCCCCTTTCTCGGCTCAAGAGCATCTACATGACAACAAAACCCACATCCTCCTGGCTGCAAGCGGGTCAGTCGCCACGATAAAGCTGCCCAATATTGCAGAAGCACTTGGTCGCCATCGCAATGTGGCTATTCGTATCATTTTAACCGGGTCCGCCGCGAAATTCCTGAAGGGACAAAGCCTGGAACAGCCTCACTATGAGGACTTGCAGCAAATACCTGGTGTGGACGCTGTCTACCACGACGAGGACGAGTGGAAGGATCCCTGGGTTCGCGGCAAGCCGATCTTGCATATTGAGCTCAGGAAATGGGCTCATTTACTGCTCATAGCTCCGCTATCTGCAAACAGTATGGCTAAAATGTCAATGGGATTTGCGGATAATCTTCTCCTTTCTGTCATTAGGGCATGGGACACGACTGGAATTGTGGACGGAGGCTTCAAGAAAAATAAACCGCTGATTATTGTTGCGCCTGCTATGAATACAGCTATGTGGAATCACCCAATCACAAAGAAACAACTGAGCATCTTGCGGGATGAATGGGAATATACCGATGCGACTGATGAGGGTTGGGTGTCTATCTTGAATCCAGTAGAGAAGCCACTTGCTTGTGGTGATACAGGAAATGGTGCCATGATGGATTGGAGAGACATTGTGAATGCCGTGGAGCAACGTATAGGCTTAACAGTAGCTGACCCCAACCATGACAATTAAGAGCTCGGCATGTCATCTGTGAAGTCAACACTCAGAAGCTTCTTGTGCCGGAGGATTCCGATCTTCGCTCGATACATAGAACCCAGTGATCTGAGCTATGTATTCAAGAAGAAGTCCCGCGGTGATACCGCCACCTGTCAGCAAGCAGCCATTTTTGAACCACCACCAGCAATTCTCAACGCTCTTGAGACGAACCCTCCAGATCATGGTGCCAAGAGTAAGGATGGCACTTCCGCAACTGCCAACGAAGAAAACAGGGCCGGCTCCGACCGCTGCACCCGCTGCGCCGAGCAGTGTGACTTGGGCAACGGCTAGAGCAGAAAGAACGGCCTTCGTGTTGTTTTCGTGACGAAGAGCAATGGATTTGATTCCCGCAGCCACGTCATCCTTGATGTCCATATGTGCGTATATCATATCATATAGAACGGTCCAGGCAATACAGCTCGAATAGAGTGCCGCCGCAGCTTCCAACGCGTCACGATTCGAAAGAAGATCGACCCCTAGTGCCGGAAACCCCATAATCGCACCCCATGAGAACGTAAGGCCTAGGACAGCCTGCGGATAATAGGTGACGCGCTTGGCAAGAGGATATGTTGCCACAAGCAGCAGGCTAGGGATGCCGTACCACAGGCATTGGGTTGGAAAGCTGAGGAGAACTCCAAGTCCAGCTAGTAGTTGAAAGCCGGTAAAGACGATAGCCTTTTCTGGTGAAATTGCTCCTCTAGCAATCGGACGAAATTTGGTGCGCTCGACATGGGGGTCCAAATTTCTGTCCCAAAGGTCATTGATTGCACAGCCGGCACCTCGCATTACCAGGGCCCCGGTAAAAAACAAACCGGCAGTCCCTAAAACATGCAAGGGGGTTGCTGTCAACGAGATTGGTGCTGCAAGAAGTGTCGAGAATGCGCATGGAAAGAAGAGGTAGTATGTGCCCGTGGGCTTATCGAGGCGTATAAGCTCAGCGTACGGGACCCATTGCCGAGGTAGACGCGCAATCAATCCCGTTTCTGGAGGGGAGTACTGTGCCGTCGACTTTTGCTCCGCCTCCTTGGTTGGTGGGTTTGTTATTGGAAGCGACGAAATCGGGTTTTGCGAAAAGTTTCTCGTAAGTGATGTGTTGTTGGAATAGGTTGAACAAGGCTTGAATAGAGTTTTAGTGTTATTACGGCAGAGTGTCATATATTGAGATCGATAATTGGGTTGTAATATTGACTGCCTGACTCTATTCTGGTGAACGGTCTTCCCTGATTTTGCAGCATTTTGTAATAGTGCGCGACGCAATGGGGAAGAGGAAGCGCACAATATCATCTTGTAAAGCAACCACAAACGGGGATGAATCCAATAGAGAAGGTTCAATCGTTTAATTAATCAAACAGATTAGGTCAACAGCGAAGCATGGTCCCCAATTGAGCGAAAAGATTTGGCGTAGGATTCGGAGATGGACTTTGCGCGATAAGTTATTTCGCGATTAGTGGAACCAGATCTTCCTCCGGGTAACTGGTGGAAACATTGAGTGACAACAGTCGGCTTGCCTCTCTGTCTAAAGGTTAGAAAGGTCAGACAATCAATGGCGAGCACCAAAATCGTTTGAAGAGGTTGTCCGGAGAATTAATATCATGTACTGCATCGACGGTGTTGTTGTCTTTTTCGCTCTCATGCCTGCAAGAAACCTGCAACATCTCACGTGATAGCAAGAAAACGGCCCCACATCTAAAGCAGTAAGTACTGTAGCGCGTTGATCAACACATGAGGAGACAGAGAGGAAGAACAAATCAACGCGTTTTAATGCGGGCAACAATACATCACAAGTTCCTCTCCTCTTAGCTACAATCCAGATTTTTGGATTAAGCTATCATCATGTCTGCCTTCCCTCATCCATAATATCAAAGACAAGGAGGATGCCCACGTCAAGGAATAGTTAAGAAAACCTTATCCTTGGCTCTAAAGCTCTTTTAGAGAGTTGCTCTTGAGAAAACCTTCAGTTCAGGTACCGCTGGCCCACCGCGAATAGCAAGGCCACAGCTCACACCCTTTGTTGACAAATTGTGTCAAGTAAATGTCCATTTCAGTGTACTAGTTCAATGAGATGCATCATTGTCCGCCAAACCTATGACACCTGATACCTGAACTGGACAGCCTGCACCCAATTAACCTGGCGCTCTTCATATTCCGTACTGAACCGCATTCGATCTATACCTGGAAGTGAATCCGAAATGCCAAATCAACGGACACGAGCGGCTTTCGAGCCGATCTCTCCTGCTATCGATGTTCCAGCGCTCGTGGAGTCAACGCCAAATTTCGAATATGTGACAAGAATCGATTGCGAATCAATAGATGACAACGGGCTTGAAAATTTCGAGAAGCTAGTTTTTCTTCACGTTATCTTCCGTGGAATGCCTTTAGTTATCGAGGGGTTTAATGAAAGGCTAGACAGTTCCTTATTTTCAGAAAAGTGGTTACGAACCCACTATTCGACGAAGAGTAAGTAACTGTGCATTTTATGTTTACCTTTTACCTTTTCTCTTGCTTTCTCCCACTGGCTGCTAACCCTCTTTCTGTAAGCGGAGGTCGCCAGGAACCTTACAACGAAGACTGACCTTCCTCTCACAATCGGCCACTATTTGAAGAATATGCCTATGCTCGCAAATCAGTGGACTACATACAACTATAAAGACCCTGAACGTCAAAGAATCTACTTGAAGGATATTGACTGTCCACAGCAATGGCACACTCATCTAAAGAAGATCATACCTCCTACCCTTTTCTACCTCAACAAGTCCCGGGAAGATTTCCAAGGTCCGGGGGCAAATACTGCCTCAATATCTGATACCCCGGAGACCCTAATACCCAAGGCTGGCGATCTTATGAGTTGCCTTCCTCCCAACATGCGTGCGGAAAATTTGATGTGTTATATCGGCCATGAGGGTACTTACACCCCAGCCCATCAAGAAATGTGCGCCAGTCTTGGTCAAAACATAATGGTTGAAGCGTCAGATGGTTCTATTGAGTATGGGAAAGCGACTAAGCCAGGATCTTCAATCTGGTTTATGACAGAGACCAAAGATCGTCATGTTGTGTCGGAATATTGGCTGTCGATGTTGGGTCACGACATTGACATTGAAGATCATTTTGCTCAGATTGAAGCGTGGAAATCAGCCCCCTTCAAAACCTATGTTGTTGAACAGAAGCCAGGGGATTTCATTATCATCCCGCCGTTGGCTGCACACCAAGTGTGGAACCGAGGTACAAGAACAATGAAGGTAGCTTGGAACCGTACTACTGCAGAAACACTAGATCTGGCTTTGAATGAAGCATTGCCGCACGCCAGAATGGTTTGTCGGGATGAGCAGTACAAGAATAAGGCAATCGTGTTTTACACCCTTGAGTATTACTCGAGTATCTTTGCCAGACACGAAACGGACGGTACAAGGACCCAGCAATTACAAAAAGATTTTGAACATGTTTTTATCTTGTATACAACTATTCTCATCTCTGAGTGCTTTCCGAGCGCGGACGTTTGCCCCAAAAAAGAGGATGTTGAATATATCCCTTTCGACGGCAGTATCACTTGCTCTTATTGTCGTGGCAACATATTTAACAGGTTTCTCACTTGTCCGTGGTGTGTGGGTGAGACGGATGACTCCTACGACATCTGCATGGAATGTTTTGCTATGGGCAGAAGTTGTGCTTGCATATCCAAGTTGAAGTGGGCTGAGCAATTCAGATGGGATGAGCTCACCGAGAAGCATGAAAGGTGGAGACGCATAGTAAACCACTTTCCGGGCGATAAGCGAGTTCAGTATAACTCCTTGTTAGACATAATGACCGAATTGCAAAAGGACAGGAAGACATTGGCAGAGATCTGCTACGAACAATTGAGATGTCGGCCCTGGAATGACATATCAAAGCCAGCCGTCCAAGAAGCCCAGGAAAAGCACAGCGATTCGGAATCAAGCGGTGTTGTCCGGAAGCGGAGGAAAACCAATGGAAACCGCAAGTTCGACCAAACTGGCCGATGCCACATTTGCAAATCCAGTGAACCGAAGTGGCGGCTCGCTTGTTGTTCAGAATGTCAGTTGGAATATTGCTACGGCAGCCTCTTCAGAGCCTTCAATATGAAACCGCAGGACGTCATGGAAATGAAGACCTGGAAATGCCCGAGGTGTGAAAAGGTTTGCAGCTGCGCTGCATGTCGTCGAGATCCTTCGATAACTCCTTTTGAACCCACAATAACACTTCCCGGTCATGATACTGCAAAGGTAGCTGATCCGCGTAGTGTGGAGAGCTTAGTGGACTTCCGCCAGTCGAATTCTCAATGGCTGAAGAAAGCAGGAGATGACGATATCGGTCGACTGAGGAAACACCAAGAAGAGGCTGATGCGAGAAGAAACCAGTCTTTATTGGACCACTCCATCCAATTGGAGGAAATCATGCCGGAGCAAGATCAAACACCAGGCTATAGCCCTCAAAAGGGCTTCTTGGTTGAGAGCTATCCAGGTGAATTTGGAGACCTACCGGTGGACCCTGCACTTGAGATGTTAGGCAGCTCAGCCCCAAGTCTACCCGATTCCAGAAATCAATCAAGTGTTAAAGAATAAAGAACAATTCCAGCATGTCATAAAAGCCGACTTGGATCGTTACGTAAATGCTATTTTGAATACAGGCTTGGAATGTGTTGAAAATATAGTGGTTGCAGTTGTCACATTGTGTGTCAATAACTAGATCTTATTTACTTACTTTCAGCGAAATAGAGTTCAACGGTCAAACTAGACATTGGATGTAGGATGATGCATATGTAGGTCAATAGAGCTTTCCGGCCCGGCCCCAGTCCGAAGAGAGTTGAAATGTTTCGTTAATAAGCTTTGTTTCACTCGGTCCTGTTAAGCTCCTTTGTAATCGTATCGCAGTTTTTCAAGCTCTTCGATGTTCACAGATACCATTAACCTTCGTACAACAAAGACGATTACTAACATTACTGTAAAAAGATGAGCCTCTCAATTTGTTTTGCATGCATGTATTCCCCCTTGTGATCCAAAGATAGAGACGCACCTCCTGGAACGACATATGTAACTTGTCGGTGGCTGAGTGATGATTCCACTCGCGGAAGAAAGATATATGATACCGTCAGTAGCCCACTGACGATGATGTTTGCGAGCAAAAGAGAATCCGGGATTGATCTTGGAGCTTCTGGCTTGAGAGCTGCTTGTGTAAATCTGGAATCAATCTTTCGCAATGGCATGTACTTCATGATATAAGCAGTGGTGATCAACGAAGCGATGCCGAGCAAAGCAAGCAGCGGCTCCAATGCTCTCGAAGAGCCGGCCAGCAGCTGTGGAGCGAATATTATGGTAGATAGGAGTGGGACGATCGCAAACATGTTCTATAAGCAGATCATGCCATCGCTTCTTAGTAACGGCTAGAACACTTTCATATGTGCAGCAATTTGGAGAAAGTTACACTGTATTCTGCATTTCGTCGGTCAATCTGCGTACGCAGCTGATCAAGCACCGACTCCTGTTCTGTAGAATGGTCATTGAGTGTATTGGGAAAATATGCGCCGCTTAGGTGTAAAACCAACCCTCATCATCTAGTTCTGCGCGGCCATGTTCGTCATCGTCCGAGTCGTCGGGATAGCGGAAGGCCTTGCGGAGTCTCGGAGTAGCCATGATGTAAATATTTGGGTCTATCCACGATTAGAGGGCGGGACAATAAGGGGATCTCTCAATTATAGAAGAACAAATTAATACGAGAGCGTCGGAGAAACGGTGGATTAGAAAAACACGCTGGGCGCAAAGTAGACAGACGGTTTAGTACTTGGGCAGGTTTGACCTGTTTGGCAACTTTGTTCCGCTTACAACTCTCTTTCCGATAAATCCCACCACATCGCACGATCTTGTCCCCTTTGCCTGCCTCACGATTAACCCGAGACCCAGGCCAATTCTTCCCGTCATGGCTTTACAAGCGGCACAGAGGCGCATAGCGCTCTCTCGACTCCCGACTTTTCGCAAACAGACGAGCGCCCCGCGTCGCAATCTCATACCCGCGCCGCAGTCGAATTCAGGCCCATTGATGGAACGACGGGCAGATCGCGAGCTTCCCTCCGTGAAGCCAGACCGACGCTGGCTGCGGACTTTGCCGCTATTTGCGGTCGCCGTGGGAGCCGGTCTGCTCGGTATCTTCAACTACCAGAAGTCGTCGTCGAGCGTGGTCAGCAGTAACCTCTACGCCCTTCGGACGTCGCCTCGCGCACGGGAGATACTGGGCGACGAGATCTATTTCGCCCAGAAGATACCGTGGATTAGTGGGGAGATGAACCAGCTCCATGGACGCATCGATATCTCCTTCTGGGTGAAGGGCACCAAGGCGCAGGGGAAGATGAGATTCAGAAGTATCCGGCCAGACCGCATGAGCTACGTTAGTAGTACCCGTTCACCAATACTATATCAATTTGGCATGTCCCGCTGATAGTCATTAGTTTCGTACCGAGGAATGGAGTCTGGAGACAGAAGATGGAACAGTTATCCCACTTCTTACCAGTGATACTGACCCATTCCGTCAAAGTGATTGAAGGATCACGGACACTATTTGAAAGCCTATAAGTTTGGGCGAGAAACCAGGGAGATTTGTATATCACAAGTTATCATTATTTTCTTTGCATAGTCCAGGCGTACCAGGATTCTTCCACCTTTTGTTACAGGAACTTCTCCGCTTTGTGCTTTACGGTTTCAGGACGTGCTCTCCTGGGGCTTTACGCCGTGAATGAGCGGGTCGACACAGTTGGGACCAATAAATAGGACATCATTTATGTATCATATAAAGAACGCCGCTTCGAAAGAGACAACAATACCAACAAAGTAGTTGTTGGAACTAATATACATTTTCATAGAAACACCTGCCTCCCAAGCCACCCTGAGCCATTGTTTACTTTACGCAGTCGGCTCGGCGGGAGTCTCCGCAGGAAGCTCAGCGGGAGCTACTTCAGGCCACGGCTTCTTAATCGCATCCTGTATCCGTACCTGGCAGCCTTTAGGTCCGCTAACAGCGCCTGAAAGAAGTCCACATATTAGCACAAAAGAACTCAGTCAAGGAAGGAAGGCAAATTTACCCTGGACGACAATGATCCCGTTCTCCGAGTCCACCTTGAGAATCTTCAGGTTCTGCACGGTATTTTGCTGATTTCCCATATTTCCCGCCATCTTCTTTCCAGGATACACACGCGAACCGCCACCCTGACCGGGGCCCGAGGAACCCATCGAACGGTGCTTCAAACTCACACCGTGACTGCGATCCTGACCGCCGAAACCATGTCGCTTCATCACACCGGCAAAACCCTTACCCTTGGCGTGCGACCGCGCATCGACATACTGGCCCGTCTGGAACCAGTCGGCGTTGATCATCTGGCCGACGGGCAAGAGGCCGGCCTCATCCTTGACTCGGAATTCGTAGACGTGTCGTTTCGGCGAGACACCGCTGGCGGAGAAATGGCCGAGAAGCGACTTCGTCATGTTGGACGGGTGCTTCCAGCCGGAACCAAGCTGGACGGCGTTGTAGCCGTGTATTTGGCGTGTTTTGTGAGAGACGACTTCGACTCGATCGAGCTGGAGGACCGTGCAGGGAACGCGCTTCCCGGTTTCGGGGTCAAAGAGACCCGTCATTCCCTTCTTGATGACGATAGTGCCGGTGCGGAGGGGCAGCGTCCTTGATTTCCGTTCCAGAGCGGCGGTGGGCGTCGATTTGAGGACAGGCAGATCGGCGCCGACATTGAAGCGGGAGGCTTTGGGAGGGTTCAATGACCGGATACCGAATGACCGGGTGGGAACATTGGCGCGGATAATGGTGAATAGGGATCCCTTTGGTAAACAGGGGAGCTGGGGGAGATTCCCCAGGATGCGTGGTGGCATGGTAGGCGAGTGGTGGTTGGGATAATCTATGTTGGATCGTCCGGTCTGGTCTCTCCTGGCTGAGATTTTTGTTTAGGACTGCGGAGGTTGCGCTGGCGGTGATGGAAAGGGCAGGCGGTGTGGGTACCGTCTTGCATTCCTATGCCCGCCGGGTGATCGATTTGATGACGGAAACCCGGTGCGCCGGCACGCCGAGCGTCGGAGCTTTTCCCGCTCTTTTTTTTTTTTCTTTGGCATCAATCTCACTTCAGCTCTTCTTGAATAACTACTGGCATGCTGTCAGAATCACAGCGGCACATATCCTAAACGTCTGATAAATATCCACTATATTTTACTACGCCCAATATATTACACCCCACCAATCCAGCTTGGTTATTTCCTTCGCATCCATTCACCATGCACCCCCGGCACCCGCTTCTATCCCGCTGGTTCTCCCAAGCAATGCAGGGCGTCCCGCGATCACCGATGTCAAGAACAACAACAACAGCAGTCAAAACCCCCTCGATCCTCCAGCAACTCTCAAACGCAAGCCGCCTGCGACAACCGTTCAGCACCACCGCCACCAAACGCACCACCCCCCACCTCCAGAGCCGCACCCTCCCGGGCCGGATACACCTCAAGGGCAATGGCAGCTTCCAGCGCCGGTTCTTCTTCTCGTCGCGGGCCAAGAACTCCTCGCAGTCAGGGCCGGCGCCGTCGCTCTCGCAGCGCCTAAAGACCCTCTCCAAGGAATACGGCTGGTCGGCGCTGGGGGTGTACCTGCTTCTCTCGGCGATGGATTTCCCCATCTGCTTCCTGGCAGTGCGTTGGCTGGGCGTGGAGCGGATCGGTCGCTACGAGCACATGCTCGTGGAGTCGGCCAAGGATGCTATGCAGCGGGTGTGGCCTCGCAGTGAGGAGGAAGCTGCTAGCGAGGAGGCTCAGGAGCAGCCTAGCCAGGAGGAACAGAAGAAAGGGGAAGCGAGTATGTTATCATCCATTTCCTCCTCTCTTCTCCCTTAAAACTATATGCGTTTCGTCCTTGAAAGAGTGCAGTGTACTAACCTCCATGTCAGGTCTCTGGACACAAGTCATGCTGGCTTACGCCATCCACAAAAGCCTCATCTTCATCCGAGTGCCCCTCACCGCAGCCATCACCCCCAAGGTCGTGAAGACCTTGCGGCAATGGGGCTGGGACATCGTCAAGGGCAAGCCAAAGGGCATGTAAGCATCAGCGTCAGCGCTAGCCCCTCTGTGTACAACATTAACCGGTGCGTTGTGTACAACACCAACCGACGCTGTGAATCTTCCGCGTCATATTTGTAACATCTACACTACACTTGTTGGTTTTATCCATTTCTTTTTACTTATCTCTTGTATTATGTTGGTTTCAATTGGCATGCATGGCGGTGTTGAGGTTGCTGTGCTTCTTTATTGTATGTATAATAGCTGGTAGATCTAATTTATAGGGGCGCATGATTGTGGACTCTTCTCTCCACTCGCCTTTTACGTCTGATGCTATGGAGAAGTGAAAAAAAATGTAAAAGGAAAAGAATATGATTACTTTTGAGGGAAGTTGTCATTGGGAATCTTTCTCGATGTTTGCTTTGATCTTATAAGGAACAGAAAAAAGCATGCAGGAGAAAAGGCTGAACGGCGAAGAAACCAAGCCCAGAATCCAAATCCGTCTATTAGATGTTTCATAGGCACTGAGAACTTATGGTGTATGTTCTGGAGTGGATACACTGTCTCAATCTTTCATATCGGTTGTATGAGCTCAATAACAGGACACTTGATGTCTGCAAATAAGACAGTAGCTGGCTTGATAGTCATCATTTCGAATATGTATATATAGACAGATGAATGGACACATGGATGATAGATTGATATAGGCAATAGATGGCGATGGCATCGCAGCCTGAAAGAAGGTCCAGGACCATGTAAAGCGCACGGCTTACATATCAATCGTATCATTGAACCGCAGAATACCATTGGCTTTCATGATTCCATTCACACCTTCAGGCATCTGGTACGCCCACTCAGCCATGCCCATCGCACCCGAGGATGTGTTCATTTCTGACTCCGACTGATTGGCTTCGTCCGACGTATCAGCCACAAGTACGAGGCCGAGCTCTTTGATCGTCTCGACAAGGGCTGGTACAACATTCTGCGTAAAGTGCATTTCGCGTTAGTCGCATACATTGAGGCCCTGGGTTGGACCGGGCTAGTAAAGGGGATAAGATTTACCAAAAGGCTCGAACGGCATATCAATCCCATGAAGTTGTTTCCCTGGGCTATGCGTGCCGATTCCTTGATAGACATTGAGGCGCGGCCGCTGCTATCAACATCTGGTACTGTGCCGACGTCACGGGCCAGGTCTCGAATCTGACCGAGATCGTTGCATAGAAGGATAGGGTCTACACGGTTAGATCGAGAAATCAAGGTATCAGGACATGTGACCCGGCGCATGGGATATAATTGGATCAAGGAGGGATGGGGCCAAACTCACAATTGGGCTGCTTCCAGTTCAGAGCAATGCAAATATTAGGGTTATAAGACGTGAAAACAATAGAGCGCATGAAGTCAGGGTTTTGGTCACGTGCGACACGGGCGTGATCGAAAACGTCAGTAAGAATAGCGTCGGCGAAAGTGTTGACATCGGCTAGAGAGGTCATGTTCAGGGCGCGCTCCTCCGCGGAAGATGGATAGAGGATAGTAAGGTTGACGTTGAGTTCGATCGGCAGATGCTGGAACACATCGCGCAAGGAGACGAAGGAAGCAGCCAGTCGGCGATGCGTTTGCGACAGGTCATCAAGTCCATGGTTCTGTAGGAAGTCCAGCAGCTGTGCCATGTCTGCTCCCCTCTCGACGCCCATAGCCCGGAACTGACTGTATGTCAGGTGGCAGATGGGTATCTCAACGCCATGGTGATCAATCGTAAACCGCGGGCATAGAACAGGGACCATGTCCCTGGTGAGCTGCACAAAGAGCTGGACGTGATCTCCCGAGAGACTGGATCCGGTGACAAGACCGTTATGCTCAGAGTCAATGGCGCTGGTCGCCTTCCAATAGGTTGCGAAATGCGTGATCTCCAAAGGCTCACCGTGATACGGCTTGATGACCTGTAACCGGAATTGGAGCTGGCCAATTGATCGGAGCCGGGGGTCAAACAAAGGGAGCGTACATGACCCTGTGCTTGAATTCTCGGCCTTAAACACTGTCGGCAATGCAACAGACTTGGCAATCACCTTGGAGCCGAACGTGGGAAATATTTCGAAATCCACGGCAAATGTTTCCAAGTTGTCCACCTGGAAAGAAATCACCCGCGAGTCTTCTTGGATCGGAAGCATGATGGTCCGCGGAATCAAGTCGGAAAGTTTTGAAGATATCGTCAATCGGGCAGCGGGATGACGGCCAGCTTGATCGAAGGATATCGAACCCGCGCTGCCAGAGTCGAAGATAATCTGAACAAACACCCTCTTGTCCAGGAAGTTGTGACCATAGCGCCGTAACGGTATGATGGGAGGCGGCAAAGACAAATCAGGGATCCCGTCGGCCGTCTCCATATCGTCAAGTGATGCTGCATCATTGGAGTACGGGTCCGAGGACAGGCTCTCCTGGAGGCTCAACCCATTTAACGTATCAAACGGCTTCCGCGGGGCTTGCGAATGAGCTCGATTGGACCAAAGCAGTAGCATGCATTCCAGATGGCCTTCCCAAGCAGCGTAATACATCGCAGCAAGGCCTTTCTCATCCACGGCATCGGCGTCGACGCCGAGCTCCAACAGGGTCCGTAGACAATCGACGCACCCCTCGCTGGCGGCATGGAAGAGCGGCGTCCATTGGTACAGCTTGTCCCGTTGATTCATGTTCGCCCCGTGTTGCTTCAACATCATCAGCAGCTCTGGCGACTGTGACGCACGCGCAACCATATGTTGAGGATAGAGGCCCTCGGCATCCGGGAGCAACTTGGCATGGCGCTCGAGGAGCATCCGCACGATTGGGAGTGAGCCATGTTGGCATGCCAGGTTGAGTGGGATATGATCTGATTCAGAGGTTGGGTCGATCCGGGCATTACTGCAGAGAAGTTGCTCGGCACAGGCGAGTTGGTTCTTGACGATGCTATGTATCAGTGGGGTAAAGTTGTCGTGGTCCATCACGTCCACAGTCTGAGGGCCTGCAACCAGGAGATCCCGAACCATCTCCACCCGGCCGTGCATGCAAGCATAATGTAGAGGAATCCTGCCATAGACATCGGAACTGGAGATGTCAACACCTGCCTTGAGCCCTGCCTGGAATACGAAATTGCGACCCGATATAGCGGCCTCGTGTAGGCAATTGCGCTCATTGATATCGTCTTCGGCGAACAGGTCGACCAATCCGCTCTCCACAAGCACTGCAAGCACCTCGTCCGAAAATTCGTTAATCGCAGCAAGGAAAGTGCGCGTCGCACGATCTCGAGCATCCGCGGTAGATTGCAACTTGGCTGTCCATTCACGAAGCGTCTGGAGATTTCCCGCGGTAGCCGACTGCAGGATCTGAAGATCGAGGTCTTCTTCGTCGGGCCCGAAAGAGGTAGCCATAGTTCGGTCCACTGGCCGGGTCACATCGAACTGTATGCTTTCGCCCTCCGCTCCAGCTTCCAGCTCTAGACGAGCTGTTGTCGCCCGGTCAGAGAGGTCACGTAGGACATCTCGATTAAAACACGGTTGCACTTCAACGGCGCGGTGGAGGTACAACTCTTTCATGCGAGACTATATAGGTAGAATGTGAGCGCCGCACACATTTAGGGCGGAGAGAGGGAGGCTCCCCCCGATAGAGGGATCGTTCGGACCTTTGAAGTTTTATCCCACTAATTGGATTGTTAGCTATCCGAGATTGGGATACTTGAAGGGGTAGGTATTGGCGAACCTTCTTGAGGATCTTGGACATGGCAGTCTCATTGATTTCAACGAATTGCTGTTCGACGACAAGAAGTCAGCCTCCCCGTGAGCTTCTCCAATGCGCGACTAAGAGCTGTGACGGTCTACCTGCAACTTATTCAAGTCTCCATCGAACTGTTGGAATCCCTCGAATAGGGTAACGAGGCTTGCCGGGGCCTTTGATTTCGCCGCCGTCCGCGACTGGATAACGCGCTTCTTGTCGAGCAATGTTTTTAATCGCAGCGAGAACTGCGCCAAGGTGAGCCATCTGGACATGTAGCGTGCACAGCGCAATCAGGGCTAACCTCGGCTTCTTTCTGCAAGTAGAACGCATTGACTTTTTCGATTTCTCGTTCCTACCAACGACGTCTCCATGAGAATCGGACCATTCCTTAGAGCTCGAGTTATCCCATACCAGTCGGAAGAAAAACACCTCCTTGTTTGCGCGAAGCGCGGCTTGCGATTCGGGTACATGCGGGGCAGCAGCTGTACCGCTCTGGGCGGGAATCGTGGGCGTCGCACTCAGTTGTTTGATGAGCTGTCGTGATATGTGAGCCTTGTAATAGCCAAAAGCGCACGAGACGAGGAACCTTTTTCAAAGCTTTATAGTTGACGAAACTGGCGGCATATTCGGGAAGGTCGAGCTGTCTGCGCTGGATCTGTTTACCGAACTTCCTGTATTGAACGGTCAGCACTGGACTGTCGGTCTCTCTGCTATGGAGCTTGTTTCTTTCTTTGATTTATTTTCTCTTTATTTCTTGCCCCCCCTTTCCTTTCCTTGTTCATTTTGAACCGCAGGTAGCACCGAAAATTAAGAGAGAGAAACACATACATCTTGATATGCCTTGCGGGGAATCCAAGGATCTTCCAGGCCCTTGAAGCAGTCGCACCCCGTCAAGGCAAAAGCGGAGCGGCACTGGACAGTCGAAAGAGCTCGCAAAGGAACGGACAGAGTAAGACAATTGGCGGGAGAGAAAAAGGTTCAGCAACCAGGACGAAAGAAACGAAGACGGACAGGGAGTGCCCCTCTTTGAACCAGGTAGGTAAAGAGCAGGGGTGCGGTGTAGTGCTGTGTAGAAGAGGGATGATGGGATGCGGATGGGATGGGATGATTAAACCGAGGATTTGGTCCGAAGTGGGGCGGGAAGGATAACTGAGAAACAATCCAGTCGGTGACAACTTAGAAACAGAGGAGGAGGTCCTGCGGTTTGTAGACAAGGGTGGGTATACCCACTGGGGCCAGAGCGAAAATCCAAGGCGGGAGA